TCGCCCCCGCTCCCTGCCTGCCGCCTACCGGTTGCCTCCCAAATAAATTATTACATTATTTTCAATCTATTTCAAACTTAAAAAAATAAGTATAAAGTCCTACGTTTATTTTATAGAAAACCAATCAACCATAAAGTATTTCAAATAAATTGTAATAACAGTACTGTGCAAACCTTTTACATTGTACTTCATTTTCATCAAACCAAATAGCCCCAAAGTGATATTGAGCTCGTTGAATTCGTCTCATTAAGATTATCGATTTGACTATAAAATTATCAAATTTTGAAATCATTTGGTCCCCAAAATATATCTCAAAATTTCTCATTCTGATTTAAATGCATGTTCTGGACTCACTTGAATTTGAATCGAATTATGTTTGATGTCAGCTGGCTCATCTTATTAAGACAATTCATTTAAATTGGAGTATAGGTACTTAAATACTTGGATCATTCGATCACATTATGCAATGAGATTTGTGTTTGATTAAGATATTTTTTTGGGAACGTATCAAAGATGATTGTAAAATTTTGATGTGCTCAGTAAAACGTAGAATGAACACTTTAACTAAAAAATGAATAGATTTGACCCTAGTCAACCCTGGGTAGATCTCATCTTAGCATACTAATTGTTCATAATTTATAAATGATCAATAAAAAAGTATAAGGTAAAATTCTAAACAATTCTAAACAAAAGCCAACTAGCATTGGTTGGCAAAAACCATGCTTAAGAAAGGTTTAACCAAAATAAAGAAAGATTGGCTTAATTAGCCAGAGATAGATATCTCCTCTCACTGTTGTGGTAGCTCTTGGCATCACTAGAGCCATTCATTTGGCTTCCACGCATGCCAACCCCCATTAACATCACAATTAACCATGATTTAGATGGTCGTGTTAAGGTGATTAAGAGAATGATTGAAAGAAGTGCTCTCAAGATTCCTAGATAGCCTTCCCCAAGCTCCTAGCAATTTATAAAACACTTTGGATCCAACTCAACCCTACTAGTGAGCTTTCGCGACCAAGCTATCCCAAGAATAGGAATGATGTTGGCCTCCAACAATCTCCAAGACATGCTAAAGAAAAATAGAATAGGCTTTTACTCTCTTCACCTAGGCAAAGATGAGGGTTTGAGTTAGCAAACTACATAGGTCTAATTTTTAAACCCTAGACTACCTAGGTCTAATTTTAAAACCCTAGACTACCGTAAGGTTCTATGGGCTGAGGCTAAACAAGGTCGCAATGAGATAAAATAGGCATACCCTAGCATAGATTTCATCCTCATGAAACTATTGCCATTAAAAATTTTCAATTTCATTAAGTGGATGCCTAGAATTTCGAATTGGGCCTCCTCTGTCACACACAACCCAAGAACCCAAATTCTTTGGTCCAGGATAAGCATGATAGAGTAGATGAAATCAACAATATATTTTCCTATTTAAACACAATCCAACGATCCCTAATAATCCCAGCTAATTTTCATAAGGTGTTCTTTGAAATTTTGTTGTGTACAATCCAGCTAGACAAATTAATTGAAATTTTAACCAAAGCTAGATCTTAATCTATAGAATTATGGAACACTGTTTCCAAGGCACTTTCCAGCCCTCTTTCTTATTTTTAAAAGCTTGAAAATCAATAATTGAGTTCATCAAGCCTCCAAAAAAATAACCATGCCATGAAGAGCTCTGTGTAATCATTTAGGCCATTTTAATAGGTATTTTCAAAAGCCAAAATTCCTTAGAACTCATTAAGATTCCAAAATAATTCAGGAAGGTATATAACATTTCCGTAAACCTTAACTTCAAAATTTTTGAAATTCTTTTTGTAAATATTGAAATAAAAAATAGTATGTTTAAATTTAAATTACAAAAATAGCCCAAATAAAACTAATAAAATTTAAAGATTTTAAATACAACAAATGCAATATTTCACAATTATTTAGCATTTTAATATAGCTAAATGTGAACATTTTTTGTAAATTAACAATTTAACTTGGAAAATGCATTTTGACTCGATCAAAGTTACTTGCATGGTTTACCAACTCAATTTGGCAATGGGTTGACCAATTGTCAAAACTTCCCTAATTTATTTTTTATTTTTCTAACGTATTCACTTAACCAAAAAAGAAAAAAGGGTGGAATTCCTATCTGGACTAATATGCACACATTTATGTGATCTCCGAATCAAACTAAGGGTCTGTTTGGGCCAGCTGCAGCTTATTGAATAATCTGTTGATAAGCTGATTAAAAATAATCTGTTGATAAGCTAGGTGTGATGGCTATTATAATTTTTTATTTTTTTTGGAAAAGTCAGATCGCCCAGAAAGCTGCCACCGCACCTAGACAAGTGCGGTGTGAAAACACTATATTCAGCACTATATTCAGCATTTTGAAAATGCACAAGCTGCCAAAACGCAGTTTACCCAAACTCCACCGCACCAAATAAGCTGCCCCAAACGGGCCCTAAGTTAACTTTGG